ATTAACATCCAAATCTGACCTAGGGTTAAGGGTTAAGGATCATATTCTTCAAAATGAAATTAAACTAAAAGAACTGATCATAAAATGTTAAAATACATGTTAATAAATCCATTATATCCTAAAGAATCCATAAAAAACTCAGTTCATAACATCAAATTCGTACTTAAATGAAACCCACTTGGAAACTCAACTTTTGAAATCCATTTTGAAGGATCCCTTTGAGGAAAGAATCTCAAAGGTGAATTAGATCCTATACCTCACTATCTGATAAAGATTTGATGGTTAAATCATCCTTTTCCAGCCCCAAAACCTTCCCTAAGCTTGTCTTCACTAGTGTCTTGAAATAGAGAGAGAAAAAAGAGAGAATGAAGAGAGTTTATTATGTGACTTGTGTTTAGATTAATTAGGGTTTCGGTCTTTATATGGGGGGGTTAAATAAGTTAATTAATATTCATTTAATCCCTAAATAACCCCTAAAACCCCTAATTATTTTAATGAACATAATTTAAAACGTGCAGAAAAGTCGCAGACCCCATTGACAAGACCACGATTGACAAATCGTTAGTCCATCGACGGGCAGGTATGCGTCCGTGCTGCACAACCGTAATCTCGGTAAGAGACTGGTAAAGGCAGGGGATTCCTCCATTTTTCCAATTTTTTGTCGATCATTGGCAATGACACCCCGTCGATGCACACACAGATCGTCGCCTGCATCCTGTCGGTGCACACTTCCTAGACAGTGTTGACATCAACTTGCAAGGGACCTTGGTTGGTCCTTGGGGAGTCGTACTTTGAAGTTTCGACCACGAATCACCTTAAACACATGTTATACACTCTTCGATCTAGTTTCATGAATTTTTGACTCCTTAAAGCTAGTTAAATAGGCTAAGGCACGCTAGTACCCCTTAGAACTAGTTTCCGAATGTCATGAATGTTCTTGGATGTTTTGGTTACAAAACATCCTAAATGACCTATAGTCATTAATGTATGTCTTAAAACAATGTTTAGATCCTATGGTTCCTATGTTAGGATTTAAGAATCTTCTTGGATTTTTGAAGTGTTACCGTTAGATGCAAAAAGTCATTTTTGATATAATAAGATAGAGGGTTCGGATTTTGAGGCTTTATATTTTAGTTTATGTCGTTATTCATTTTAAATTTTTAGTTTTTGCCAAAATTTTAATTTAGTCAATATTTTTGGTAATCGTGCTCGAATTGACATTTTGTCATTGTAGTAAGCAATATAAGTTCAGTTTTGATCTCATAGGATGGTTGGTTCAGAATTTGAGACTTACTTTCAGTTTGTGTCATTACTTGTTTTAACTTTTAACTTTTGACTAAAATTTGAATTTGGTCAATTTTTTTGTGAAACATGCTCAAATTTGAATTGTCAACTCAGTTAACTATGAAAGGTCATTTTTTGCTTTATAGGATTGCTGGTTTTGATTTTAAAGTTTTCATATTCAGTTTGTACTATTAGATGATTTAACTTTTAAGTTTTGGTAAAATTAGATTTTGCTTAGTATATTTTGTAAACGTGATCTAATGAAAATTCTATCAGTTCGATTACCTTCGTAAGGTCATTTTTATATTCGACAAGATGGTTGTTTCAGGTTTTAAGACTTTCAGTTTCAGTTTGTGTTGTTAGGCGTTTTAACTTTTGGCCAAAATTTACACTTTGTCAATATTTTTGATAAACGTGCTCAAATTGAATTTTTTGATATAATGATTTGCGTCATATTGAGATTAATTTAACTTGTTATCATATATTTTGCATTATTTTATTCAAATATGATTTATAAAATTGATTAATATTTTGGGTCTTATATTCATGTTCTTTTATTTTTCAATGCAATAAATTGATAAACATTTGACTATTGTATAATCATACAATTAATAATATTTTGAACATATTGTCAATAAATTACGAAGCTAACATTGAACTTGAATGAAATATTACCAATAAATTACCAATCAGTTAGTAAATTTATTAGAAAATTAAATAATCATACTAAAATATTTATTACAAACAAGGGTTGTAGTGTAGTGGTAAGTACTCCCTCATCTTTAACCAAGAGGCATTTCCATGAATAACCTATTGGTAGTTAATTATCCTATAAACCCCAAAAAAATTATTTGATGGTCGGGAAAGAAGGAGAATGAGCTTTCTAGCATGGGGATGTAGGAATGTTGCGAGATCCTGGCCAAATTCACCGTAGTGAAATCTAGACACACTGGAAAAGAAATAAAACTCCGTACAAATTGCTTGGCGCTCATATAGGTTAGGTTTTATGCATTGAGTAGTTGTAAATTTGTGCTTATAATGTAATATATGAAAACAATAGTATGAGATATGTGGGGACCCTCGTACATCGAGTAAATTACAAGGAAAAATTATATGCTTGCAACATATTTGGTTTTAGTGCTTGAGGTAGGAAATTTATGATTGATCAAACATTCTTAGCTATTTTCTTGAGTATAATTCCTTCTTTAATCAAGGATATCCGGTAAAAAGGGGTGAAATCCGTTCTATACTAGGTTTAACCCAATGAAATAACTCGTTGTTGAATGTTCAGTATTTTTGGTCTTAAAATCCCTAATGACGAACCCCAATGAAGAACAAGAGCTGAACTTGTACTCTAGTATGATATGAATCGAGGGGAAAAGTAGTAGGTGATGGTTCTGATTTCATGATTTTTGTGATTTAATCATGTTCTTACCTAATTATGATACTTGTAGGTATATGAAAGTATCAATATTGATCACGTTGCTGTAACTGAGATAGATGAATAATGTATCTATAAAATCATGATGTAAATGTATGATCTTAATGATGTACTTATCATTGTGACTGCGGTGTGTGATTGAGGATCGGATTACCAGATTATGACAAGATAACATTGGATCTAAATGCCACTTTTCGGCATAAATATTGAATTGGATTTCAACGTTCCGACAAGATAACATTAGATTTAATTGTCATGTTCTGACATAAATAATGAATCGGGTTGCAACGTTTTCACACAACTATGGGATTGGATTTCCACATTCCAATAAGCTAATTGGGATCGGGTACTATGTCAGTGCACTAACACTTTGAGTTTGGGTTCCGTGAGAACACCAACTAACTGTCATATGTTTTAGTGAAAAGCATGTCAAATTCTAGTATTATGATGTGTTTACACTTGTGATAATTTAGTTCTCATCTAATGATGACCTAGTGTTGGTGGAACTATGTGTATGTATTTGAGTTTGAGGTGATGTGTAGATACCTAATGCGGTGTACTTGTAAGAAAAAGAGAGAACTATTAAGATGTTTCTTGGGTAATAACTCACGAAGAATGGGATATAGTTAGAGATTAAAGTAAGGAGAAACTGTGTGGCTTGGGGGTCGATAAGGTGAAGACAATTTTAGAATTTTACAAGATTGATTGGTAGAAAATGGTATTAGCGGTGCTTCGGATTATCTAATGTGGTTTGGAATATGTAGGTTATGATTTAATAAAACTAGATGTGTTAGCAGTTGGGAAAAGAACTGTAAGTAGTTAGAGAATTGTTAAAAGTTCAGGATGTTTGGAGAAACGAGTGTTACTTGCATGATGCAATTGTTCATTTGTTATATTATAAGATGAGCGTGGGGTTGGCCAATAATACCTACTAATACGTGTGGTTGTACTGATACTACTCTTGCTATGTCTTTTTTATGGTCTGTATACAGGATTGTTGATATTTCATTAGGTGAAGATGAAGAATTCCTCCAGCAGCTTCGACTCTTCCTTCCGCATGGTGGGAGCTATGCCTTAATTAATTATTGTACATTGTTATTTATAATCACTCTTGTACCTGCTAGACTAGACCCCTGGGGTTGTTAAATTATTTTACAAGTTTAAAAAAGAGTGTATTTAAAAAGTGTTATTTATTTACTTTCTTTAACTTTGTTGTCTATCTTATTTGATTTCCGCATGTTTTTGTCTATTAGGATATGAGGGTTCTCCTACGTAGGTGTTAGAGTGGGTGCCTGCACAAACCGGTTGTTGGGTCGAGACAATTGGTATCAAAGCCTAGATTACCAGTCCCTACGTACAAGAGAAAAATGTGAACTATACTTTTGTCAATTAGTGTGTTGACGTCTACATTTAATTTACAAGAGGCTAGTAAAAATTCTAGGAAGTCGTTCAACTCCTTTACTCCTTTCATGTGAAGCTTCGCTTGTTGTATAGGTTGAGTCCAATTGGTATCTTCACGATTTTGATTGGCGTAATTGCTACAATCGAAAAACACCAACAAGTCAATTGGAACCGAAAGACTCCAATTGGCATATAGACCTAGGGGCCATAAAGAGCATGGATGGCCAATAATGACCATCTACGACATGAAATAACTAATGGATTTGAACTTTGTAGCGTCGTAGTTAGAGAACTTATAATATGTGTTCCTTGCTGCCTGAAATAATTGGAAATGTGTGCCTTGTTTTTTTAATTTAACTATATTGTGTTTTGTTTTTTGAATTTATATATGTTGTACCTCACTCATTGAATGAATTTATTATGTATGTGGGAGTATTTTCGGATTGCCTAAATTAATGACTGAATTGTTAAAATCGTGCTAGCTGCGATGTCTGGGAGTATTTGAGGAATGTGAACATTTGTGGTCTCGAGTTACCTTTCAGTTTTAGAACTCAGGCCTCGCGTATCCTAGTTGGGTAAGACTTAAAAATTGATGGGATAGTGAAATAAGAGGTTGGAAAAATATTGGGAAGTGAAAAAGTACTCAGAAACACCTTGTCAAGTTTTTGGTCCCGTCTTAGCCGCTGCAACGGAATTTTTACCATTTGTGCGGTGCCACTAAGGAAGATTATCCCACTAAAGAGGGATAGAGGGAGGCAGAACCTCGCAGAAAATTCCTTGTTCCTCCCTGTTTCCAAATAACAACACGGAATGGATCTGAACCAATCCCTCCATCACCTAAACCAGTGTTCTACAATAGTAGTAACTAAATGTATAAAGAATTAAAAAACTGGTTGCTTCAAATGGCCAAAAACTAGCATAAGTGTGCTACAAAACATAGTAATGCTTGAAGGAAAAAAAATAAAATTAATTGTCTTAAATTGCAACAACAAGAAGGGTGAAAGGACATCAAATCAGGGACTCTCAAGATGGGTGTTGTCTGTGTCACTTTCCATATCCTCGGGGTACTTCAACCCAGCCTAGGCCTCGTTTGGCATTGAAAACTTTGAGAAGTTCCTCGGTTCAAGCTGGGGTATCTTCTTTCCTGGGGCAATGCAAGTAAACATGGACTTAATGGTCTTCCAGGTCCAGGCTATCAGTCGATCGCTCTCTACACCCGTCCTCATCTCTTTGCACAGCTGGCGGTGGAGAAACTCTTTCTCATGGGAAGTGTTCAAAGGACACAGAGTGAAGTCAGCATATTCACTCCCCATGTTCTTCCATACCATCTTCAGATCTATCTCGACCTGTTCACCTCAGAGGGGTTCCTAACAATCTTAACCCGCGATCGCCTTGCTACTACTACCTCGATCGTCCTCCTCCTCTAACTCATAGAAACAGAACCTTACCAAACCAACAAAAAGTGGATACGGAGATCCATCGGCAATACCTCAACGACATCCACCAAGGGCACTCCTGCTCGCTTGCATAGGGCAGTGATAACACCCGAAAGGAAGAATGTCTTCTTCTTGCCCCAGTAGAATATCTTCCACTAAGAAATAAATTTTGTGCCCCACATTTATGTAAATACCTTGCATATAACACGCCACCACAAGAGCCCGAGGAAAGGTTACGTTAGTACGGTTGGTCGATGAGTGAATCCTTCTATATATCAGGTGTAGACCCCTCTTAGAATCCGGTGACCAATCAGCACTAGTGAGGCCCTACCCAGTAAACCTGATCCCGTTACGCAGAATTAGCAATAGTGTCCTGCAACCAGTCAAGATCAATGTCCCTTAGTTTGGCCTCTTACTCCAGATTTGAGAGTTGTGGCCCCTCCACAACCTTATTGATAGTAATGGCGTTCAGCGGAATGTGCACTCCCTGAACGCGAATGACTGGGGATGGATCATCCCAACGTGTGGTGGGGAGGATGTCATAGAACTCCCTCACCCACTTAGAGCAGGCACATGGGGAGCCTCAATAAGCAAAAGCTACCTAAACTTGACGAAATGAGCTTAGAAAGCAAGATCTCTCTCCTACACCTTATGTAATACCAGTGCCCTCTCACAGCAAAACCCTATTGCACGAGAGTCGTGATACCTCTCACGACAATCGACATCTGAAAACCGGATGAAAGGTGCATTGTTGCCATTTGGACCATCCATTTGAGAGAACCTGTGTGAAAAAAAATAAGGTAGGACAGTATTAACCAGAGAAGGAATCCTACACAGAAAGAGAAAATGATTAGAAAAAAGGAACAAAAGTTTATGGTCTGGGCTATACCACTGCAACCGTCATCGTTCCGTTACAACAGGATTATGCAGGCAGCTGCTTCATCTAGGATGATCTCCAGAGACGAAAATGGCGTATTTTCGTCCCAAAATCTTCATTTTTATGAAGTCCAAACTCTTTTTCCCTTTCACACAAATTCTCTCTAACCCACCATTGAAGAACAAGGAAGAACTCCAGCTAGGGCACTCAAGATTCATTCTCTTTCGATTCAAACTCGTCGAATAACATCAAAAAAGGTTTGGGAATATTAATTCATGGATTAGTTTCTCCATGAAGCCCTTCAAAACTTTAATTTTTTAAATTTGTAATGTGACTAAAACTAAGGCTTGTGATCAAGCCATGGGTTCACTACATAACCATTTTCTTTATATTATGAACCTCATGTTTTATCAAAAGAATATAGTTAAGACAAAATCACTAAGTTTCAAAAAATCAATTAATCTTATGATTTAAGGAAAATCGATTTCTCGAATTAAAAGAGTCGCCACATAATTTTTAATAAAAAACCAAGAAAAAACTTATGATTATTTTCAAAAGATTTAAACAGATAAAATCAATTGAAAAATAATTCGAAGTTCAAATGTACACTCCTAGAAGGTGTTAGGCCCTCGGAATGCCCGCTAACTCGTAGTTGACCAGTGATTTGACTAAATGACTCTTCTAATATTTTTTCATATTTTTATATATGTAAAATAGAATTCATTTTTATTCATTTACGTTACTTAATTATACTATCGTTGTTTTCTAATTAATTATTTATGGAATTAAACTAAAAGGAAAATCATTTTTTAAGAGGGAGAAACTTAGGGTCGTAAGACAAATAATAAAATAAAAGCTAAGTGACTTGTATAAAATAAATAATTATATTTATCTCAAGAATTTAATTAAATTAAACCATAAGATAAAACAAAGTTAGTCGAAACAATACAACATAAGTAACAAAGAAAGAGATTATCAAATTTGGGCCTTTGGCACAAAACTTCATAACTTGTCCTGAGTCTAAAATGACCCAAAATGAATCTTGCCCATTTTTTAACATGTTGAGCATGCTTAAAAATTCCTTGGGCTTTTGGCCCCATTCCAATCTTATTTGCCATGAGATACACTATGTGTTTATTTGACATATACACCATGTATATCATCGATTCTCGAACTCCTGGATCTGTAACTTTATTTGAACTCCATAATTCCAACACTTTTACCTATATTTTTCATATTTTTTCACCTATATATTGTTGTTTCATCGTGTATACCAGTGTATACAACGACTATACAATTGGTATGACCAGTTTCTATGGTCCTTTGAGATTCGGAAATTCAATATGCAGACTTGTATTGCCTTCAATATGATCATTATTTCTTCTGTTTGATTGTTAATTCGAACAACAAAGATAGAGGCTTTATCGCTCAACTGGGGAATGTAAAGGTAATAGAGGAGTCAATGAACACTCATGACAGATTCACATACACATACAATGATTGCATTACCAAGGAATATAAGACATAAAAATAAGAACATAAAAACACAAATAAAAAAAATTAATGTTGGCTTGCTTATTGGACTTGTTCAAAAAAAGAAAAACAAACTTCACCACCATTATAAGCTTGGAGTAAGGCTACAATAGATTTATGATAAATAAACCACCTTCGAGTAGATGACTTTTGCTTTGACATATTTAGGAAAAACATTACAACTTAAATGCTTCACGTAGAGATATATAGACGACTAAGTTACTATTTTTATTTGTCATAAGGCATACAAAGAAATTGGAACTTAAATGTCATATACCTTCATGAGAAGCACTTAAACTTTTAGAAAATAAATCAAAGAACACAAAGTCTTGCCAAAGAAAAGAGATTTTGATATCACCATGGAATATACATGACTTAAGAGTAAATTACTAGTCTCCATGTGACTAAGTAAAACATCAAACGGTAGTAACAACTAAAAAAACTACTAATGGAGGGATTTAAGCATATTTACTTAGACAAAAATAGAAATAAGGAAGCCATTATCAACAAAGAAAAGAACAGACGATTATAGTTGACGTTGTTAAGCTTTGTTGCTTGTTTGTTTGTATTTTTTTGAAAAAAAAAATATAATGCAGACTCAAGCAAAGGTATTAAGTGAATTGTGTATACATGGACTATATTTGAGAATTTTGGCTTATGGACATAATAGTAAAAAAATCATTAAAAAATGTCAATTATTTGCAGCAGTTTCGGACATGAATAAGAGGATGAATGTTGGCATCTTTCGCAACTTCGAATTGAAAAAACTGGGTTCAAAGGACAATACATTACAGTAGGATTCACCAGAAATATATACATTGAGGCATACATTAAAAGCTGAACAAAGATGTGTTAAAATTCAACCAGTAAGACCATTAACTTTCAGAAATGAGACTCAACCAACACACGAAGAAGCTATCATAAAAAGAGAGAAGTAACAAATCATGCTTGATGGAATATGCAAGAATAATATACCTCTATGTGTTATAAATAAACCCTTAAATTAAACTAAATATTATATTTGACCAACTCGCCACATACAAATGAGCTTCGAATGGACAGAGCATGAAATAAAATAAACACCATCGACTAAACTCGAAATAACAACTATATAATACTAGGTGAGCTCGAAACATAGATGTGTTGCCTCATGCTTCCAACTTGTGGTTAAAGGACGAAGAAAATGACATTCCGTGCTATGAAATACTACAAATTCTGAACGACCAAAAGAAAACCAAAGACGAGCAAAACAATTTGACGACTAAAGTAAGAGAGCAACTGGAAATAGAATGGAAATAGTAACTATAGATAAGATTCACAAACTTCACTTTTTTTAAATGACACATAACCATGTCTTTCATAAAAATGCAGAAATAGATCATGGATAGGAACTACCAAATTAAATCATAGGGAACTAGCTCACATAACATTCATGTATACTTAATCAGAATGAAAAAATAAATTTCAAGATGAAGAGAGGTTACCTTCTACAGTGCAGCGACCTGGAGACAAACGAACAATGGAGTAAGAGATATTCCACGACCACAACGATAAATCTGATGAACCCGGATGTATGATACAGAGGCCAGAGAGAGAAAAAACTGGAACAAACCTGGTTCTCGGTCTCTACGTGATTACGGGGAATGTCTTTCTTTTTCTCAAGCTTGTTGGTTCTATAGAAATATCTTTTTCAATCTCTTTTCTTCCAAAAATTATTTGTTTCCCCTTTTCCTCTGTTTCACCAACTTTGTTCTCTAATTTTTCTTCTATTATTCCCCTAAGCTTTTCTTCTATTTTTTTAAATCTTTTTTCTCCCAACTTTTTCCAACCCTCAAGACTGATGCCAAAAGGAGTTTTTATAGAAGGAAATTAGGGTAGAATAAAAGGGGGAAAACAGGGGGAAATTTTCAAATTTGAAATTCAAATTTCCTTAAGGATCAGGTTGAGGAGTTGTCCATTTTACCAATTTCTAACGGAAAAAAGAGGAGAGTCCTCCTATTTGAGAAAAGGACAAGTAAATTGCGGAGATATGTACACGTAGAGAGGAGATAGACACGCGATGCTGCTGGACTCGGGTCGTCAGATCTCGCGATGGGTTGGATTGCGATTCTGGGCTGCTCTAGGATGTTTGGTTCACATTCTAGCTGGATTACACTGATGGAGTTTCTGGGTTTCACGTGTTGAGGAGGAAGATGACGGAATCATAGGGGTCAGGTACTGGTTTATTGTTTAGACTGTATGTATTGTTGAATATCTTTTTTTATGGAATGGGTCGGTTGTGGGCTATAATTTGGGAGAAAAGATGGACCTGAGAGTAGAGGAACATGAATATTGAATTAAGAGTGGGCAGATGTGGTGCTAAATAATGAATTAAATTTTGTCCAAAATTGGTAACAAAATTGGAAGCCAAAGATGGGTAAAGTTTAAGATATAGTTAATTAACGAATTTGGCTAAATCTAAAATAAGACGAATTAATATAATTTATTAAGGAGTTTCTTAATCTTAACAAAAATAAAATAATTAACTTAATTATACACTAAGGATTCAAGAATATACATTACTAATTTATTTAATAACGCGTTAAGTAAGACTAAATTTTCCTTGAAACGATTTTTGAATATTTTATAAAATTAAATAATTATATAAAAATCATATGAAAATATATGTCATTTAAAAATTATAAAAATTGACTAAAGCTAATTTACAAAAACATTAAACAATATTTTGAATTTTTTAAAGTCAATCATTTAAATTCGTTTGGAATTTAGGAAGCTCAATGATTAATTTGTATTGTCGAATTTCAAAATTGGGTGTCAACAACTGTGCGTCGTTTGACTTGGATTGATTTAAGAAATCCTAAGCAAATGAAATTGACGAATCCAATTTTAACCTACCACATCTTCATCTTTGAAAAAAGAAATTTGGTACGGACTTTAGGAAATATGGCCGAACCCCGGAAATAAGTTTCCTACATATCTCAGGCTATATGAGAATTTAGGCCGTTTGTAGTTCGATATGCTTTATCTAACGCATGATTCTGAATGATTTCAAAAGTTATCGCGATATAAATTTATGAAGAAATTAGAATACTCAGGAATAAGATTTGAGAAAGATATCAAGGTACAACCAAGTTTTCAATATTGAGCTTTCCTACATATCCTTAGACCTTAGGAATCATGCTATTTGTAGTTCGACTTGATTGATTGAAAAGGAAATCTATTATGCTAGAAAATCTTTGGTTTTGAAAGACTAACAAATAAGTCGAGTATTAAAAAGATGCTTGCAACCTCTTCGGCATGAATGTAGAGATATTCACATCCATAGGTAAGAACTTACACAGATATAATTTCCAAAGCTTTGGGTGTATTGTCACTTGGATTGGAAAGTTGCTTCCGGTAAATACCAAAAAAATGTTGGATGGAACAAAAAATCCAAGAAATATAAAGAAAGTCCACATGCCTTCTGATAGGGATGTGGTTTGATTGCAAAGGAATTCGCTCCTCTACTCGCGTCCTAAGAGTTTGACACTCCTCTCTGGACTATGTCCCAGTTTGCTTCTAAGAAAAGGTTCCACCTTGTGATGCATCTTTTTTGATGTCGTCCGCACCTGTGGTTTGTTTTTGGAGAATTCATCCTTTCGGATCCTCTCGACAAATACAAAAGTAAAACTCATTAGCATAACAATGCAATCCAAATGGGAGACAATGTCTTTTACCACATTTACACTCAATTTCTTTCCTTCGACATTTGATGTCAAATCTGTTGGGTTTGACGTAAAGCAAATAAAGCTTGTCTTATATTTGAAATATAATCTTCAATTTATTCTTCATTTGATGTCGAAGAAATAAAATATTGACTGATATAATATTTTCTGATGGCTCTCTTTATGACATTCTTGCAAATGAAAAAAATGATGATGATTCTTCTTTGGTAAGATGACGATAATGCATCAGTAGCATGATGTTGATTTATTGGTAGGATAATATTGCCACATGATAGGATGATAAAAATAAATATCCATAGTTTGAAAACTGTTGATGATCCATTGGTTGGATAATTCTAATAAACATCTGTCCATGGGACGATGTTGATCCATTGGTAGGATGGTGAGGATGATGATCTATTGATAGGATAATATTGATCCATTGGTAGGATAATGATAATGAATATCTATTAGTAGGATGATATTGATCAATTTTTAGGATTATGCCGATCCATTGGTAGAATAATGTTGATCCATTATTAGAATATCAAATATATAAATGATAAATATTCGTTCATATGATGATGTTTATCCATTGATAGGATGATGTCTATTGATTCCGAGCCAAGATAATGCTTCACCGAGCAATACAGGGGATCTTCTATGTATTTTCTTGGTGGAATATCGTCTCAATCAAAAATAAAAATAAAAATGGCCCTCAGAATAGTGGTATAGTCTCATAATACAATACAATATAAATCACTCTCTAGAGAGTAATATTATGATGTTTGATAATATGGTGCAGATAGTGACCTCTGGTTATTTTTAGTTGATGGAAATGAGTAAACTGTCTTTTGTCTGGATTTTCATTTATTCCATCTCTAAACATAGTTGCATGTTCATTAGTGATTTCATGTTGGTGGGAATTGAATATAATAACGTTATTCATATTCCCAAATCTTTAACATAAGCAACATAAATTCTTTCCTACACACAGAGAAAAAATATCAATTTTGGGGAGCTCTTCGCCCTTTTGACTTCTCCATATTCATTGAATGGAGGACTTTGCTGATTTCAAGGTAAAATTATAAACCTGCATCCATAGAAAAATTGTTAATTTTAAAATGAACTGATATATGTCGATCTCTTTGGTCGTCTGCTCCTTGTCTTTCTATCATCGGTTGATTTTTCTGATCATTCGAATCTTGATAGATAAGACAAAATATTTTATGCAAAGATAGATGAAATATAAAGGAAGCATTTTATGAAAATAGATTTCAAAAAGTAGTATTTGGAAAAGGTCACTACCAAGTGTCATGTGTTAATAACCATCTTTGAGGTTGATATCTCGAGGTCTATATGATTACTTGTTGGGAGTCATTCAACGTTGCTCAAAACTGCCGATAAACCTCAAAATATCATCCCAATTAACTGTTGGTGAGCCAGCCACAGAAATTTTGGGAACTTATCAAAAATTTTGTCTTAGTTGCAAATCTCAAAGTAACTTCATTCTTCACTTGTTGAGCAAACATATTATTCTCGAGAATTTTGAGTTCCTCTCAAAAATTTTGTCCCAATTTCTATTGCAAAGAGAAATAGAAATCTTATGGGAGATATGACCGAATTTGTGGAGATTATGTACCTTGTTGAGGCAGGAATCTAGTCAAATATAGTTTCCCCTCAAAGGTTAACAAAAATAATAAATTTATAAAATACTGACCGAGACCGGCATAGGCCGCCTATGTAGTACAAATACACAATGAAACATTAACAGGGGATAAAGGAGTGATAAAGTCCGATTAAGGCCGCCTACATATCTCATTCTTGAGAATTCAGGTCAAATGTAGCTCATTACAAAGAGATCACGTCTAAGCATAAACTATTATGAACGAATAAAAGCGATTACAAGCAAACAATACAAATCGAGTTTTCAAACATGATATCTTTCGACAATATTTGAGTAGATTGATGACTTGTGAGATCTAATGTTCATTCTCAACCATATAATGTCATCAGACAAACGCATTAATGTGCTCGCTAAGAAAATTTATGAGTTTTCTCTCCTGTGATTTTGTCAGATAGACACCAATTTTAAATTTTTGACGCATTCATCATTTTCTAGATTCACTATTCCAATCTCTTTTGAATTCAACTCTTTGTGACTTTGAAACTATCTGAATTCCTAATCACGTGTTCGGGTACCGTGATCTTCTCACTGTAGTCCTCAAACTCATCTGCATCTACACCAGTTTGTTCATTCAGCTTGTGACATGACACGACATTGACAATTTTGAAATATTCTCACTATAATTATTGACACTGCATGGATAAGCTCACACTAACCCGTCAATTTTGGATCCAAATTAGATATTTTCCTTGTGAGGTATCGGGAAGGATTTGGAATAGAATAATATCAATTCATACGGAACAAAAGTTTCTATATTTATTTAAACATTGTGCCTATGGGATAGGGATCGGGGAAGGGGAAAAACCGAAGATTTCACATGGTACTTTTATCAATTTGATTTATTTCATACAGATATTTTTAGATAGCAAATATAAAAACAAGGAAAGCAAATTCTTACAATAAATGAGGTTTTTGTTTGAAATGAGAAAATAAGATCTTTGCCTATAAATTGTTTTGCTCCCTTTTTTCCAAAATATTATGAGGGAGACTAAAACATTGTGGGGCAAAAAAGATAGAGTAGAGGATGTGTTTAGAGCCTCATTAGAAACACCACATATTTTGAAATAACATTTAAAATTGTCTATATCTACCAAGACGAGCGAGGAATCAACAGCGGGGTGGATGTTCAGTTAGGCATCCGCTCCTTTGGATCGCTCTCTAATACGACTGGCGTCTCAATCATATTGTTAAGCACAATATCAACTTCTTTTAATAAATTTTTGATTCCTTCCCCTATACCATTTTGCATTTGAAAAGACTTATATGAAGGAGACAAGGATTTTGCAAAACCTTGATCGATTTTATGCTTGTTCTGACCCTCTTTCGGCACTAAAGCAAAAGTTTGATGAGGTGTCATGATCACAAAGTTGGATTTCTCTCTTTTGGTCAGAGAGGCTACAACTTTCTCGAAAATTCTAAGGTTTGCTTGGATTACAGCTTCCTCCACATTCAAATCATCTTCAACTTTAATCATATGAATACTCACCCGTCCATGATTCAGCATGGGGTTAATATTGACATTAGGGGTGGCACTCTGGAGAGTGACAACCTTTTGATTTATCAATTATTGAATTTTATGATTCAAGTTGACAAAATCCTCAATGATATTCCCAACACATCCTTAATGTTAAGAACGTTAAAGATCGGGTCTATAAAGCTTGGAGTTGACTTTGATATTTTTTGGATCAATTGTCTGTATCAGGCCAACTGATTTCAATCTCTCAAAAAGTTGTATTTGGCTCTCAACCAAAGGAGTAAATACTCTAGAAGTTTTTTTCTTATGATTTGGACGAGGAGGACAGTGTAAAAGGTACTTAATGGTAGTTTGGAATATTTTGGTGAGTTGGTGCTTTTTTTTTTGGAATTTGAATATTTTGGAGCTCGGTAGCTAGGAAGGGTACAGTGGTAGTATAGTGTTGGATTTTGGTAACTTGGTTATATATT